AAATAATTTCATTATTATCCTGTACTATAACTTTTCTAATAATTACCTGTAAAATATTGTTAGGTTAGGATGTGAGAAAAGGACTGTATTATAYATATCAAAAAATTGTAAACAWGTTGCTCTTTTTTTACAAAATATCATGTCATTGAGTTTCAGTATTGTGGTATTTATTTGTTGCTCAAGTGAGGGTCCATTGATCTTCCCATGCTAAAGTTTATAGTTCAAATAATTATAAACATTTATTATGATCGTCTAGACTTGCACTCAACTTTTCATTAGTCTCTGTAGTTGTGTTTCTATTTTCTGTTGTAAATTCAAAATATTTGGTAATTCAGAGTGCATTAAAAACAGGGAAAGATATCCCAACAAAGCTTATGCTTTTGTCCCTGAACATAAAATCATTTTAAGTTAACTAACTCAAATAGAAACTACTGCTCTCAGTTTCTACAGTTCTTTCAATTAAGGACTCAGTTGCATATTACTAACTTCATCATGTTTATTATTGATGTTTTAGCTATCTATTAGTTCATATAGCATGTACAAATTCTCGCTGATGTATAGAGGACTGCTTTGTACAGAGTTAGTAGTCGAGTAGATGCAGTTAATCCATGAAATAAATAGTACTAATTCCTACTAATGTTGATAAGACAAAGGAAACAGGAATAAGCATAATATTTMGCACTAATTTTGTACTATTTATGTTTTCACAATTTAATGCATCTACACTTATAATTTTGAACCTGACAGTGATGTTTTAGAGGCTAAATCCTAACCCTACTAATGATAACATCAAAATAATAGTTACAATGATAGTAAATACAAACGTATTCTGGTGAAATTTTACAGTTTTGAATGCGCATACTGTTTCTACAGCACAAAATCTACATTGTACTTTCACCACAAAATTTTGTAATAATAATTGTTGTACTAGAAAAATAAATAATTYCCTATTGACTAAGTGCATTTTATCTTGTGAAATAGATACTAGACAAAATTTACAGACTGCCTCAAGCTGGATAGATACTTTACAATGATCTACATCAGCATTTATTTGAACTATCTAAAATATTTAGGATACTACGTGCGCTGTGATTGGTCGAAAACCATGTTTGATTACAGTATCAAAACACGCTCGTTTCATATCGTATCAAAAGTCAGAATTCTTTACAATTTTCTTACTCTACGCGTCGTGGTTTCCTACGCTTCTCTCGTGCTCTCCCTACATCCCGCGTGTTTTGATCAGAGTATCAAACACGGAATTTCCTCTTTTATTCCTTAAATCATTTTGTGATCTGTAGAGGAAATTTGCAAATTCTTTTCACAGGTTTAATGCACTGATAGTAATCATAATATAATTTGCAAAAAAAAAAAAGGATATCAACAGACAATTTTCTGTTTGCCTTGCTATACACCTGTAGCCCAGACACTCACTTAYTACCAATAGACTGCTGTCAATAAAATTGCCCAACAAACCGGCAATTCGCACTAAGGCACTTATATGTAAGCTGATTAACAGCTGTCTATTCCTAAATAAACCTCTGCAGCTTTTATGTCATGTACCGTATACGCAATGCATTGTAGAACATGTTTGGGACAAAACATGGCGGATTTCTTTTGTTTTCTCTTGAAACTGATCCCACAATGCATTGAAAATCAAGTAGTGACGTAAAGAGGTTCAGAAGTCTATTACAATGTTGTGAAGTTTTATCTGGGCTGGTTGCCTAGCAATGCAAATGACAGTAATTTAAATTGGTTGTGGTTGTAGTCACTGAACTCTGAAATGCAKATACATGCTTTATGAAACCTACTATACAGTATATATCCATGAAACAGAGTGTGATATTGCTAGTATAACAGGCACAAGAAAATGCTTAATACTGTGAAATAGTTCAAAGCAATGCCCAACAAGGAAGAAATTGATCTATCACAACCAAACYATTGCGKAAACTGTTTCACAGTGATAAAATAGTGTCTCTAGGTTTTATGAAAAGTTTTAATCTSAAGTTAATGAAAACAAAAAGAAAAGCCTGCAATGATRSCTATACATCGTGTACTTTGAAARTGATTTTGTTYAACCTTGACTTCCAACTTGATGTAAACAACACGAACGTAAAAAGTTCCTTCCTTACTAGTTTTTCTTGCTATAAACAAGGAACAGCTAATACTTATTCTTCAATTTCTTCTCACAACTACATATAAACATCTCTTTAAATTGCTGGTTATCAATAACTCCCATTGAGATTTGCAAAAGATTAGCAACCATGATCGTAATACTGATGAGAGATCACAACTACCCTGACATCAGTTGCTAACCAGCAATAGCTCTCCAGAAATACAAATTGTAAAAACTGCTATCTATAAATATACCTAATTTGTCACGAACTTTCTATTTCTTGATTWGTACCATTTCCTACAAACTCTAAGGAAATATTTGAAGGACCTGGATCGAAGCTTTCTTCAGACACTGGGGAGCTACCTTCAGGAGARGAAGGRGAATGTCCTGGTTTTAATAACTTGTAATCTGTGATAATAACTGTTACATTGCCTACAGTGACGGCCATGTGTTGAGCACTGCTTCGGTCAACGTTRTGAAGTCTTGGCCTGAAATGTCMAAAATTATAAAACATTACTGCTGAATGCATACGCTGTATCTAAAATAAGTTATTAATTTAAGTTATGAAAATTTCATTTTAGTATATTTTTAGTGATTTCACTATTAGTTTACCTCATTTTTTTATTGAAAGGTTTTTTATTTGGCGTTTTCTTTACTGGAAGAGCAGGAATGTATTGCTGGGCAACCTGCTGGGCTACCAGCTGAGCATTTATTCTTGGTTTCCTGAAAAATAAAATGACAACATCACAAATAGCCTGCATGCAGTCAAACCAAAACTGTTCACAACATGATTTCATTGAGTCAATACATGATACACAGACAACAAGAAGTCATTCAAAGTTTATAATGGGGTGGAGTACAGTGAAAAGGAATGAATAATAAGTAACCCTAACCYAGACAAATGGGCAAAAAATGATACCCTATCCCAKACTTGGAGCTCCGAAAAAGAGACCCTATCRAGCATCACATACCCGTATAGCACCCCGGGGTGTATTATTTTACCAATCAGGGACTGGTACTAGCACATTTAATCCACAAGATCAAAACTTTAAWCAAAGCAGTAACAATCAGATAAAAATCTTATGTAATGGATACCTCTCATCTGAGGCAGGTTCTATGAGTTTATATCCACAATAGTTTTTGTATGGATTATATTCAGTGGATAAGAATCCAGTGGATAGCACAATTCACTGTTTGTACAACCCATCCTAGTGTATAACTTTATCTCCTCTAAGTTGTACAATGTACAGACATCAGTATTGCCATTGCAATCAGCCGATACAAAATTTTAAAATGACTAAAATGTACAATTAAATGTTAAACATTGTAGCTGTTTTATAAACTGAAAAATTTTATAGAAATATCATTTCAAACAGAACTGGATGATTTTTACTTCAATAATATCATAAGTATGGTAGTTGAGAAGTACTTAGACATGTATGTCAATAGTCTGTCTTATCCACTTAACATATCACTCGTTTGTTCTAATAAAATATCACAGTCACCATCAATTTTAATACTGTAATGATAAGCTTAACTAAAATAAAAAGATTCAGTGTGAATGTTGCATGAGGAGAGCAACAAATAGACTTAAAAATCATGTCCTATTCCTAACCATGAAGGAAATTACCAAATGGCTTAATCACTCCTTGACCCTACCTTAACTTCCTGACATATAAGAGTGATTAATACTGAAAGAACTTTATGGTATAAAAGGCATAAAACATTAGCAGAAAATGATACTCCTTTCTATTTTCTAGACTGACATTCTTTTATCAAATTTGTCATATAAATCACAGTRAGACAATGCACACCTCGACAACACCTGAGCAATGTCTGTTCACTGAACCTCATGTCTAAATTGGCACAACTCCAAGGTTAGACAGAGTAACAATGCAAAAACCACTAGGCCMGTCTGATCAAAACTGATAATAATCACTTGATAAATACTGATAAAATCAATCCCTTGTAGTGAACTAGATCAACATGAGTTACCATATCAGGAAAATCATTATTGTTTCCCAGCTGGATTTTATTGTTCCGATTCAATTGTTTCYTTACTTCATGAATATTCTGTGAGGTTTTAAAATCGTCACAGACTGATAATATAAGTGTTTATGTGTTTGTTTGCTTTTGGTTTATGTTGAGCCAGATTGTCAAACTATCTACAGGTGACATTTGCTAACGGCTAATGACTATTCTAAGGCTACMAAAAATGAAAGGGTTAGAAGAGCTGGAATGGGTTGAACATTATTCTAGATATTAAATGGTATATTATATAATTCTATTACAATAGATCTGCTAATAAACCAAACAAAGAATACTTCATTAAAATATATTTTTACAACCTTATTTTAATGAGTTCCACTAGAGAGCTCTTTTTCAATCAAGCACAAATTCTAAATAGACACTTCAAAAGTCAAAACAGAAAAACAATTTGTGCTATGTAAAGAATAGCAAATATTTAAAGAGAAAAAAATCGTCTTATATTGGAAGTGTTAGTTTTAGCTTTAATCAATATGATGAGATGATATCTWCCTTTACAAAATCTAATCTTATCATGATTGGGAAGGTTGTACAGTCTCTGTAAAAATCATTTAATATTAATTTGCTAATACTACAATAATTGGACAACAACATTGCCTTCAAAATACAAAATATGTCAGGTTGTTTTGGACTGATTTRTTATATAATGTACATGCAACGTCAAATGGAGTAAGCTGGCAACACGCAATCTTCTTCACTAAACACTTCTTTGTCTTTGTACAAAATCTCTTGAAATATTTGACAAGGATGTGAATGATCTGTATTTCAAGGCTTTATTATAATTGTGAGGTTAAAATGAACATRGAATAACATGTACTTTGTAAGAATAACCTTGGAGGAGATAAGCTAAATCTGTAAGATCACCATGACACGCAAACATCAAGATTGTTGATGAAACCCTACCTAGTTGAAGTCCCTTTTCTTACATCACACATAGAGCATTTGAAGGCTTCAGAAGTATTCCTATATGTACACACACTGCAATCCCAGTAACTATCATCCGATATTTGCTTGACGAGTTTATTCTTGATTCTGTGAAGACGGAAAATTAAGTTATGAGTGGAATGACTCGTGGACCCTTTGCAGTTGTAACATGCAATTTAACAACACGAAAAATCGCTTTTTTGAGCGCAGAGTTGTTGAGCTTTTARATGAAAAAACTCCCAACATAGAGGTTCATTTCGAATGCTTTGTGTTCWCTACAGGATCATAATTAAACTTATATCTAACAGCTGAAACTAATGTGGCAAGAAAGCCATTTTGGATTCACTTCGACCCCAGCGCATGTGCTTGCAAATTCCCGCGAAAAATCGAAGTTCGAGCTAGTTGATTTAGATCTAAATTTCTAAGAGAGTTATAAAGCATTTCATCTTTACACAGACTTACCGATTTGGGCTTTTCTTGTCACCTTTTTCGTCCATATCTTTTTAAGTGACTCCTGGTAAAGAATGCCATACAAGGCCCAGATTCACTCAGAACATTTGACCAGTTTGTATACAGCTAGACTGAACAACTTTGAACCAATCAAATCATTCCGATTTTAGACAAAAGGTTACCATATTAGGGCTTACATGGCGGGCTTCCTTGGTAATAAAGTCTACACAGGAAGACCGTTTAAAAGTCTTGAAATGAGAAATGCCAAACGAAAGAAAGAACGGACATAATCGAAAGAGAGAACTAAATAAATGAAATGAAAAAGGAAAGAATCGAAAGAATGAGAATAAAACATGGAAAACTCACTAATTTCTAAAAAAAATGAAATAGATTCCTTTTATATTACAGATATTTTTCATTTTCAATCATATGACAGCTATGAAACTGAAGCAAAATTGCTTTAGTTTCGAAAACATCGCATGGGTTATTTCTTGTGGTTTACGACAACGAAAACCAGTATATTCTACTCTCTCTCAGAATGAAGATGCATACGTCAGTTGGAATTTTTCTCTGTGTAATAGCCTGTGCTCATTCGTGGTATCAAGACTTAGGTAAGGCTGGTAAGGCTTGTAAGACTTGTCTTTGATTCTTTTCTGATTTCTTAGTTTTTCTTTCTTTTTCTTCTGTATTTTCTCGATGGAAAAGAAGCTAAGAAAATTGACGAATCAAGCGAATTAGTTTTTTTAAACTAAAAAAGATAAAGAAAAAAAGATAAAGAGTAATTTTAATTAAAACAATTAGATCTCGAGGACGAGTGAACTACGAGCTGATAGGGGGCCGAGAGATCTAAGTTTTTAGTGTTACCATACTAGTTTGACGAAAAAAGAATGAAATATATAAAAAACTAAACGTTTTTATTGCTAAAAATACGCAATAAGTTGTCGCTTTTCGCTAGTCGAGGACTATAGACCCCGAGTAGCGTAGTCAATCAGAATGTAGCATTTGCAATAGTCCACTAGTATGATAATACTAATACGTAATAGTACTTGTTAATCAAATTGCACCGGGACCACACCCTTGGGACTTCTTCTTTTTCTTCTTGATTATTTTTCCCTTTTGGGTACGTTTGGAAGAGGGTAAAAACAACAACAACGCATTTTCATTTTTCAGATGGCTTGCAGTACAGGCAACAAGGAATGAGAGAAGATACGGGCATGTTCACTMGAGATGGTGTGMTTGTAGACCGCGAGGATGTAAAGAGAGTCATTAACATCCTGGACAGGAAGTGCTCGTGTACTGGTCCGGTAGCCTGTCAGTGTTGTATCGAAGCCAAGCTTAAGATTCTTTTCAAACTCAAAGGTATGACGTTGCTGATGAATGTGAAATAAAAAATCAGTAGAATGAAAGTGAACAAAACAGAACGAAACGAAACAATTGAACACGTGTCAATCAATCAATCAACCAACCAATGAGCAGGAACAACTAAGCACATGTCATTCAATCAATCAATCCGTAATCAATCTAAAATAAAACAATTATTCATAGTGTTTTTATTTTTATTTTTCAAAAATAGCTTGTGCAGCCTTTGCCTTCAATCCCAAAACCAAGGTAACTATCATGACTGATTATTATACATTGACTCGGGCATCATCATCATTATCATCATCATCATCATCATCATCATCATCATCATCATTATCATCATCATCGTCATCATCATCATCATCATCATCATCATCATCATCATCATCATCATCATTCTCATCATCGATCATCCAGGCAATGATTGCTATTCTATTTCATTGCTAGGCCCTTGATTTCACCATTACGGTTGACAATATAGTCCTCTTCAAGAAATCAATCTCAGGTAATCCATACGTTAAATTATTAATAGATATGACATCATGCGAGCCATTCGGACYAAGTGCAGCACGTGGTAATYTGYAGTGAGCTTTTATTTTCGCGTTTTCATTTCCAGCCGAAAAAAGCGTACTATTTAGGGTGAAAGGAGTTTGTTTACCACGAATTCAAAGTTTAACTTTCTAATGATATTATTTTCATCTTTTGGTTTCAGTGAGTAAGCCAGTCAAGTTTTGTCATGAGTTTTCATTCCATGGTCATGATGCTAAACTTTGCGTTGGTCTGAGTGACATCTCTTTTGAAAAGGGGCACACTGGTGCCTGCATCTACATGGAAATYCAAGCCTCTCTCTTTCACTGGAAGCAAAAATTGGGATGCTTGTACAAAAGTACKCTTCCTAAAAAGCTTTCGCTYCTTGCAGACGAYACCAAGAATGGCGATTATAAATTGTAATCTCTKATATCGCCGAATTTTAAAATTATGASWATAAYAATTGTAGTTTTTAAGTGACTGGCTCATACAAGTGATCCAAAATCAGACACGAGAACAAGAAATGCAGCTTTTTCGTTTCCTTGTGCTTGTGTTTGCAATTGCGTTGTGTCATGTAGCGGAATTGCGCACAAGGGAAATGAAGAGCAAATACAAGGATAAGAAAACGAAAAAGTTGCATTTCTCATTCTTGCGTTTGCTTTTGGGTGACTTGTGTGACGAACCAGGCATGGTAATGAGACGTGTATTTAGGCATGTTTAATTTTCTAGGTGGATTAAAGTTATAAATTGTAGTGTATTTAGGCATGTTTAATTTTCTAGGTGGATTAAAGTTATAAATTGTAGTAGCTTAAATGCAAACGAGTTGTTGTGTTTCTTCTTCTTCGTCTTCTTCGTGAAACGGATCCATAAAAGGGAGGATACGAATCCCATTTTTCCTATAAATATAATATCATCCATTATGAACCAGATTTCACTCTGAAAGGTCACAAAATCTCATCTGTAAATTCCAGCACCAATCCCACAACAGGGACCCAAATGTAAATCTACACGAACTCTTGGGACRRACAWCTTGCGATCTGATTGGCTAAGATTRAAACCTTGGTCCCAGTCCTTTCTCAAAGAGACAAACAGGCGCGAAAATTAAAACACGTAAACTTCAACCATTTCGTGCTGATCAATTTGAGATATCAATCGATATGAGAAGGTCAACTATAGGTTGTGGAGAGAGAAGAAAGTCTCGTGCATCGGTTTCGGGAAGGCCATCCATTTCAGCGTCCTCAGCCACTGGCAAACGGTAGAAATTTGTCGATTTACGGGATTTAACTAATCATACAACGTTTGAAGTTTTAGTTATCGATAGCTATGAGAGACAATACACTTTCAAAACAATATAATAGAATCCTTTTTCCTAATAAAAGCCTTATGTTGGCTAGTTGCTTACACATTTTGATAATGACTCTGTGCAGGCGCTCAAGTCAATATGGCGGAGGACGGGATTCGATGCACGGACCAGGGCAGATGAAGGATCCAAGAAACTTGTCTGACAGAGGTACATGTATGTTAAAAGAACTCAAATAATGATCGATGAATTAAAATGCTTAACAATCAGYAATTAAAACATGAATAAAAGAAAAAAATTGTGATCAAGTGAGTGGATTGATGAAAATGTGAATGAGATTTGATTCATTTTATCAATGAATRGTTAATCGATGGATAAATATTAATGATGCCTATTGATTATCCTTTAGCAATCTTCTCTTAGGGCTGCCAATCATAATTTTTCATATGCAGTGTGTAATAATATTAATATTTTATGCAACAATCTTTCGGTATATGGTATAGTTGCATGACGATGACTTATAAATACTTGATAACATGATATATTGCTTTTGAATATCAGGAATCTACCGCAAAAACATCAAATACCTTATGCATGTAAGTGACTTAATTCTATTCATTTATTCATCCTCTTATTTCCATTCATTCAGTTCTCATTTAATCATTTTCTTCATTCATTCACTGTTTCTTTCATGCTTTTCTTTTCTTTTGTTCTTTCTTTCTTTCTTTCTCCCTTTCTTTCTTTCTTTCTTTCTTTCTTTCTTTCTTGATTTTATTATCATTTTTTGCCAGTTCCTAACAGAGTACAACTATCCAAATCCAATTTCCGAGAGGATTTTGAGTGCACCATCCATGAAAGAATTCAAAAAGATATTTTTGGTAATGTATTTTAGTTATGATCATCTCCATTCATTGTTGTGTAAAACATGCTGTTTATGACCATTTATTCTTATTATTAGTTTATCTACAAATTCATCAATCCTGTCATCAAAGACTCTTCTATTGACAAGAAACCAGAAGAAGAAATACCAAAGATTTTCAAAATGCTTGGGTAAATCTGTTTTGTATAATTCAATTGAAGTGCAACTGCATTGGAAAAAAATACTCACTTGCAAAAGATAAATTTAAGATTTTCCACTGTAGCTACCCTTTTCCCATCAACAAGACATCAATGTTTTCTGTTGGAAGTCCCCACACTTGGCCTAACCTTCTTGGTGCATTGAGTTGGCTGATAGAGCTAACTAAGGTAAAATTAATTGCATTGTTTATAGGCTTAACAAGCCTGCCTTACTAATTAAATTTCGCATGCTTTTTTTAGTTTTCATTCAATATAGCTCAAGATATTGAAGGAAATATTATGTTTCCTGATGATGTTTCTGATGATCTGACACAAGACAGTCATGGCTACTTAAACAGGGTATTATACTTATCATCATAATCATCATCTTGACATCATTTCTAACATCATAATAATCATTATTATTTTGGTTACTTGGGCTATTCCCTTATTAAGTGTAATGTTTTGTCGACTATGTTTCGTTGCCATTTAGGTCAACTTCATCAGGTCGTTTCTCGTTCTCGCTAATCATTGTTATTAACATCATCGGGTACTATACACTACATTGATTGTCATCATCATCATTGTTTTTTGCAGTATTATTTCAACTATCTTGAAGAGKCTTATACTGCATTCATGAGAGGAAAAGAGTTGGATGAACTGGATGACTTGCAGCAGACGTTTTTTGACAAAATAAGTAAGTCAGCTTGTAGTTCATTTATTGCTCTGCCTTGACTTGCCTTGCGCCTCGTCTCGCGTCCTGTCTCTTTGTATTTTTAATAATGTCTTGATGTTTCTAATATTCATGACAATTTTTTTTCATTTTCCCACGACAGGAAGCCAAAATGCAGGTTTCTACAATGGTAACTATGGAAATATTTCCAGTTTAATAAGTACGACATTACTGACTTCATCACGATCTTGTAATTTAGAACTCGAAGCAGTTGAGACTGAAAACGCTCACCTTGARCAAGAGCTAGCTAAACTTGAAGGGCCTGTAAGTTTCCTTAAGAAGTCTCCTGTTTTAGTTGTTTTGTCATGGCGCTGTTCTATAATTTTTTTCTTTCTATTTTTCTCTAGTCAAGACTTGAGTCGCTTGTAGCAAAACAGAAAACTCTAGAGGTTGACCGAAAAAAATTTAGCCAATACATCGAAGACTTAAAGAGRCACTCGAAGAAGTTAAAGGAATCAAATGACTTGCAAGAAGAAGAAATTATTTCCCTAAGTGAGAAATACAAAGCGTAAAAGAAGAAACCTGTCCGCAAATCCATATTAAAAACCCAACCATAAATATTGGTTCTCCGTTTTTTCGTTCTTTCATTTTCTCTGCTTTCATTTTCAGTGTTAATTTTCTATTTCTTTTGATTAATTGATAGAGAGGGAGTTAGAAGCTATCACTGTTGAAAACTGTAAACTACAAGTAAGTAAAAAGTGCTTAATTATATCATAAAACGATGTGCACAGTCTTCYGCGCAATCTCATTGGTTCATATACCAGCGATAATATAATACAACTGATGTTTCAAAAAGTGAACGGATGCAGCCATACGAAGGTGACTGACGATGTGGTCTTCCCAACAAGTATTATTGTGTAGATTTACGAACAGAAGAGTTCTGAGCTCTAAAACTAAAAGGAGAAGAATTACAAAGTACTATCTTCACTATTATATAAAATAATGTTATTTCGATTTTGTGCCGTGTTCACAGTGCGTTCTGTTAAAGCCGCGGCTACACGAGCGATTTTTCGCTTTCGCAGGCGACGCGATTTTCGGGTACGATGAAAGCTGAACATCGAATTTGAGCTGTTTTTGTACATATAACTCTTTATGGAGATTCAAATAAGTATTTGTGAGGATTTTTTTTATCGATACAGCATTGTTGCTCGTGTATAGCGACATCGTGCTCTGGTGATTTTGAAAAAATTGCGTCGCCTGCGCAAGCGAAAAATCACTCGTGTTGCCGCGGCTTAACTATCTCATCCTTAACTATACTGTAAGTTTTGCTATAAGAGTTTGTTGTAGTTACTATTGGATGTTAGGTTATTATGGAGGAACAGGAGATAAGCCCAGCTGATGTCGAAAGRATGAAGAAAGAAAAACAAGACCTGATTAAACAGCTTCAGTTCTGGGAGAAAGAAAGGGACTTGATTGAACAACAGATATGGAATCAAGAAATCAAGTTTGCCAAAATTCATGAAGAGGTAATAAAGCGGAGATATTCTTTTTTGTGTCATATTAATATTACCTTATCATGTTTAAATCATATAATTTATAAATGCTGGCACAGAATCTAGAATGATTTTTTTTATAGAAATTATCATAAACAATAACAGTCTTTTAAGTCATTAAAATGAGTTCTAACATGGTTTCAGACTAGTCAAACAATACGTGAGTACAACGAACTAGCAAGRAAGATGAAAATAATACCAGCAAACGCTGAAAATGCTCATGGAATCGACTTCGAGATACGATACAATGCTCAACAGACCGACATGGCCGCTGAATTTAAAGAAGTCGTTAAGGTACAGCGCAAAGCGTAAAGACCATATCTGTTTTGGTAACGAGGTTTTTACTGACGTCTTTTGTTCAGCCAGCTTTGGTGCGTCTCCAAGAAAGGATTTCAGAACACAACCGAGAGCTCCAAACAGAGCTTGTTACAGAAGAAGAAAACATAGATAAGGTATCATTCAAAACTCCAGTCAATAGTTCCCTAATAATTTATCTCTTTATTATTTTCTCTCTTTTTATTTGAGTGTATTATACTTTTATTGCRGTATTACTTTGTATGTTTTTGTTTAGTTTGCAGACATGATCAACGAGAAACAAGAAGAGCTTGACGCACTGATGGCCAAACAGGAAGCTTTTGATAAGGAATTTGAGATGCAAAAAAAGGTAGAGTATCACTAACTAGCTTTCATGAGCCATGTTGGTTCACAGTAGTAAATAGAAATCGTTTGTTAACATTTAACCAACATGGTTGTCGTGATTAAAACCAACAATGTGACTGTATTTCCTTCACTACCGGCAATAAACCAAGACTATTGAATCGATTCAACTAGGTTATGGCAGAAGAGCTCCAGAGATACACACAAATGGTAAAAAATCAAGAAGAAAAACTACAAGAAACAAAGAAACAAGTGCATGACTTTGACGAGAAGAAGAAAGCAGAGCTAAGAGAAATACAAACTAGGTAATACATCTCATCAGTCTGAGTCATACCCAGTTTCTTACGTCGCTCTTTTCGGCGGTGCGCAGTGCATCAAGGGGAAAGCGACAGAAAATGTACCCCTCCCATCAGTCCCCGCGGAAGTGAGGAGTGGGTACGAACTGTCACACTTTCGGGTGATGACAGCAATATAGATGTAATGGCGCTAATTCTTCTTACGAGAGATAATGTAATCTGTTTATTCTTAAAAGGGCAGACGAGAAAGCTGCAGAATTTAACCAAGAAGTCAATGAATTGAAGAAGTTTGTAACAGATGCGTGTCACGTGGTCATGGCGCACAAAACAGCCATGAGTGTGAGTACTGTATACTCCTGATTGGTTGAGCTTCGTCCACAGGCTTAACTCTAACAGAGTTTTCCGATTTCAAAATGGCGGTCTTGCATGACGTCATGCTAGAGAATAGTCTGGAGACGATGCTAGTTTGANCATGAGCCATGTTGGTTCAGTAGAGTATCACTAACCAGCTTTCATGAGCCATGTTGGTTCAGTAGAGTATCACTAACCAGCTTTCATGAGCCATGTTGGTTCAGTAGAGTATCACTAACCAGCTTTCATGAGCCATGTTGGTTCAGTAGAGTATCACTAACCAGCTTTCATGAGCCATGTTGGTTCAGTAGAGTATCACTAACCAGCTTTCATGAGCCATGTTGGTTCAGTAGAGTATCACTAACCAGCTTTCATGAGCCATGTTGGTTCAGTAGAGTATCACTAACCAGCTTTCATGAGCCATGTTGGTTCAGTAGAGTATCACTAACCAGCTTTCATGAGCCATGTTGGTTCAGTAGAGTATCACTAACCAGCTTTCATGAGCCATGTTGGTTCAGTAGAGTATCACTAACCAGCTTTCATGAGCCATGTTGGTTCAGTAGAGTATCACTAACCAGCTTTCATGAGCCATGTTGGTTCAGTAGAGTATCACTAACCAGCTTTCATGAGCCATGTTGGTTCAGTAGAGTATCACTAACCAGCTTTCATGAGCCATGTTGGTTCACAGTAGTAAATAGAAATCGTTTGTTAACATTTAACCAACATGGTTGTCGTGATTTAAACCAACAATGTGACTGTATTTCCTTCACTACCGGCAATAAACCAAGACTATTGAATCGATTCAACTAGGTTATGGCAGACGAGCTCCAGAGATACACAGAATTGGTCAAAAATCAAGAAGAAAAACTACAAGAAACAAAGAAACAAGTGCATGACTTTGACGAGAAGAAGAAAGCAGAGCTAAGAGAAATACAAACTAGGTAATACATCTCATCAGTCTGAGTCATACCCAGTTTCGTATGTCGCTCTTTTCGGCGGTGCGCAGTGCATCAAGGGGAAAGCGACAGAAAATGTACCCCTCCCATCAGTCCCCGCGGAAGTGAGGAGTGGGTACGAACTGTCACACTTTCGGGTGATGACAGCAATATAGATGTAATGGCGCTAATTCTTCTTACGAGAGATAATGTAATCTRTTTATTCTTAAAAGGGCAGACGAGAAAGCTGCAGAATTTAACCAAGAAGTCAATGAATTGAAGAAGTTTGTAACAGATGCGTGTCACGTGGTCATGGCGCACAAAACAGCCATGAGTGTGAGTACTGTATACTCCTGATTGGTTGAGCTTCGTCCACAGGCTTAACTCTAACAGAGTTTTCCGATTTCAAAATGGCGGTCTTGCATGACGTCATGCTAGAGAATAGTCTGGAGACGATGCTAGTTTGASATGTGATAAGTTGTGTGCAATGGGCCTTTACTGAAACGGTATTATGTTTCACAGTGAGATTTGCAAAAACGGCTTCTAAACCCGTGAAATATATATTAGCGCACTGCACACTAATCAGAGTCCCAGACTTTTGATTCCAATTTGCAGCAACGGTTTTTTTTTGTCTTTCTTAATTCAACTTTATTGGTCGCTATAAGGCTACAAGGGTTTTCAAAATCACTCCGTTATGTAAAACGTTGTTTAGATTATATACAGTATTTCAGTTGAAACAGTTGTTGTTGAATTATATTCGAAATACATTCATGCGATTTCGTTCACTTGTAGAAACTGGTTAAAGAGGTGGAACAGAAGGCAAATGCTGCGTTGAAGGAAACCAAAAGTTTACAATCGCAACTACCTGAGATATGTCAAGAGTTTATGAAAAAGATGTAAATTTAGTTACATGTAACTTGAGATCTAGTCAAAAAGTATACAATGTTTTCTTCAAAGTCTGTGAGTTAGTTTTGTAATGATTCACATGATTCTCTTAACTTTTCTGCGATCCAAAAAACATTAACAATGGCAAAAAATAACAGTATTATTGATAATATGAGTCAAAAACGAATTATTCTTTCAAAAACCTGGAACCTTTATATCATATACGGTTATCTATGGTCTCTAAATAGTTCAGTTTTTGATGATGTTATGTTGAGGTCCAACAGGGAACTTGGTRATATTCTCATTGCCATCTTCCTTCACTACTAAGATATCATGCTCTCTGTATCCTCCCGCGCCCGGTTGGCCTTCTGGGATTGTTATCATCGGCACCATCGACATSACCATATTTGGCTGTATAACTGTCTCGTTGTCTTCTCGAAGCTCGAGCGCAGCCTCCCTTCCATAGTAGTGTGACAAGACTCCAAAMGAATACCCATAGCCAAATGTACGGTATTTCAAAAGGCCTTTCTCTCGGTACAACTCGTTAAGCTCTTTTGCAACATCACAGCATCGGATGCCTGGTTTGAGGAGTTCTATGCCACGTCGTTGGACCTTCGCGTTTTCTTCCCACAATTCCATGTGGCGGTCGCTTGGTACGTGGTCGTAGAACATGGTTCTTTCAAGTGCAACGTAGTAACTGCAAGACAAGAGCAAGGATTCAGCCTATTTTTGTCGAGAACAATGTTATTGGAACTGTTTTTTGAAACTATGAAGTCAGAATTAGGAAATGCTTCACCAATATTTTTCACGCGCGCCACGCGCCGATGACCCCGGAAATTACAAAGAAATGTATGGAGAACTGAAAATGAGTTTACTCACTCTCTAGATCAAGTAAAACCTAACAAGTTTTCGTAGTATCTAATGTTTANGAAGCAACAGATTTCAAGAAGATATTGATACAAATCCTTAATAATTTGGGCAAAAAATGTTGGAGTAGATGACGTCATTTACTCCATCCTTTTGCTCTTCCATCTTTTCAATTAAAATTTCTCTGATGTGGGATAATTCCGAAACAAATATTTTCTCGCAATTGTTTTTAATAGATATAAATGAGTGATATATTCGTATTGCTTGAAGTTTTGAAATAAGTCCATTTTCATGCAAGTAGCACTTTAAAGCTGTGACCTGGTGTTTTACGAGGAATGACAGCTTAGATATTTCAACTATTCTAAAGACATTCATACTTACCCTGCTAACATAGCGAATGTATTCATGCTGAGAATGTCTCCTTTCTGTACTTTTCAGGAAGTCACGGGGTTGTGCGCTCCGTCAGTGTTTATACCAGTTTGAAACCATGACCACGCTACGAATATTTCAACAGTACAGCATTAGATTTAGCCTCCTCCGCATTGTCCTCCGCAGGCATCACTAAAAATCACGGGCTTCCTGTCTTTTTGGGAGTTAAAAGTGTGAGAATGGGGATGTGACCATTACAAAGGAAGCCCAAAGGAGAAAAAAAGGGTTGCCTGGGGAGGAGCCTACACTAGATTCATAGATATGACAAGTGACTTGACTTGATTTTCAGTAAGGTTAGCTCTAATTGAATTAAGAGAACACAGAAATTTTCCGGCACGCCATAGTACCTTTGACAAAGTTTTAGCTCAAAGTATTTCTCTGACCCCCAAAAAGATATCAAATAAATGTAAATGTCGCTTGTATATTCTCCCCGGGRGGGGGACTCCCTAATATCAAAGGGCGGGGTCCTCGGCGGAAATTATGAAAATGACCCCTAAGAGGGACCTGTATTTGGAGATGATGGGAGTGGCAGTGCTGAAATTTCATCCCTAAAAGGGACCAATAATCTCGTCTATTAAGGAGTGTTAAGTGACAAGACGTGAAATAAAATCAATCATCTAATTATGCAGCTGTGGTTTTTGATCTCATAATGACGGCTTAGGGACGTCATATACCCTAAAAGGGACCACAAAACTCAGTTGGTGAGAATTATCGTCATTATCACCCTAAGCGGGACCAAAATACCGATTTCAAACCCTAAAAGGGACGCCGAGGACACCCGCCCTTTGATATTAGGGAGTACCCCCCCCCCCCCCCCCCGGGATATTCTCCTTTTTCTAAGGCAAATCTCATATACTTACTGTCCATCAGCTCAGCGTGTGGAAAACGTCTTGCTATCTCTCTCACCATTACTGCCGTCGATGCCATTGCGACTTCGTGCTCGGGTACGCCTTCCCTTATCAGATTCAACACACTTTCAGCACCAAAATCACACACAGCTGCGCCTTGTTTGATGTGCTCGATTTCTTCATCAGACTTTATCATCCTCATTCTCATGGTGGAATCACCAACGTCGACGAAAGATGCATTTGGAAATACCTGTTTGAATTTTTCCATGTGGTCTAAATTGAGATGGTTATATTCGAAGCCTACATTTCTGCTGTTTCCAACCAATTGGTTAATGGCGAAGAAATAGTTATCTTTCTGCCAATCCGTGTAGACGACGTTTTCTCCGTATGTCCTGCGACCWGGCTGACCATAATCAATACCTGAAATTTGTATAATTAAGCTATTTATTTTATTTATTTTTTGCTAAGCTATTTATGCAATACTTCAGTTTCGAATTCTCTTTTGTACAAGCTTAAAAATGTTTATTGTCTTCTTTGTACACAGAGTGTCTGCATTACAATATAGATTCTCTGCTGAATAAAAGAATATATTACATGCATTCCAGGTTAAGGCTGCACAAATAAGATCTCGAAACTCGAGTATTCAATAGACCTCTGAACCTTTTACGTCACTACTTGATTTCTAATGCATTGTGGGATCAGTTTCTAAAGAAAACAAAAGAAATCCGCCATGTTCTGTCGCAAACATATCCTACAATGCATTGCGTATACGGTACRTGACGTAAAAGCTTTAGAGGTCTATGATCACCTGCAGAAACACTAGTAGACTTGTCAGCGGTCACCACCAATGCGTAAGGCCTCCCRAAGTAACAATACAAGAAATCACTGAAATAATTGATGTTGTGGTAAGACGTCAGTACGCATGCGTCGATGCCGCGGTTCTCCATGTCGGTACGTAGCATAGTGAGCCTGCGTTCCATCTCCGCTGCAGTGAATGTAGGTTTGACCTGAAATGCAATAGTTGATAAAATCAACATGGACCTTTTAGTGTGTCCTGGGGTTTGTTATTTTATAGATGACATTTTTTTAAGTTGATTAGTTGTTGAGCCTTGAATTGCATGCTTGCATGTACCGTCTTTAGTATCTTTAGTATCAACTTTTCCCATATAAATGGTAAAGTTAGAGTTTTTGAGTACGATTTTTTTTTTTGAGTATGTTTTTTTTTTGCTAGCAGACTCTCTCGTTGCTCGTCGAGAACTACAATAAGAGAAACTGATCTGCTAGCAGGGAAGCTTAGGAGTAAAAATCATTTGGTGATGGCCTGTCAGACATGTGAATCCAGTCGTGCTTTTTATATTATATTATGGGTCTTCTTTATAATTCAGGATAGTATCACCACCCTTCTGTTATCAGTAGGAGACCTTCCCTTTCTTTTATATGATTGTAAAACAATGAATGAAATAGCGACCGCTTCAATTGTTACATACCTTTTCTCCATTCTTTATTCGAAGAGTTCGTGGCAGTTCTACCTCTCGTTGTCCTACGGATATCGATCGACATGCAAGCCTGGCACTGCCAAGCACACCCCTTACACCAGCCCGCAAACAAAACATTCTTGAGCTATCGTTGGGATTTGAGGTATCATCAGTTATATCAATTAACTTTGAAAGACTAGTTATATACTTTATCCACTGCACTCAATGCACAATAACAAACCTAGCATTCTAATAATTGTCTACTCATATTTTAGTTGACCCCACGGGTTTAGTTGGAGAAATATATCTGTTCTTATGTCCCAGCCAGCTGTAAGTCACAACTGGTTGCCAGCGAGAAATTCAGGAAATAAGAACTCTCCAGGCTAGGAATATTTTCTAAGAATTTTTGCCAGGAAAATAAAAATTTCCCAACTAAAAAAACGTAAGCCGTTTTTGACCATAAAAACGTGTTATATAAGCCTGTTTCGACCTTAAAACGTTTGCCAGGAACAAAATGATTTTAAAGGGCTCCTCCTAATGTAGCTCAAAATCCCTTTCCCAGGATAAAAATTCTTACAAGAACACTAGTTATTTAGAAGAACAGACCCCGTCGGCTCCTCCTAATATTTTGTCTGCATCTTGTTAAGTAAAATGGAACTTAGCCGAAAAATGTCAAAACGAAATCGAAAGTAAGTAAGTCCATTTGTTGACGTTTTCCTTTAGTATCTTCAAGACCTTCATACTAGATTCTAACTCACCTTGATTAAAGTTTAGTGGACCTCGGACTTTGCAACTTCTTCTTCAAGGGCTTCGCGTCCTTCTATCTTCTGGCAGATGCACAGTTAATGGTTATACAAACAATCTACACCACGATGTATCCAATTAGCTTCTATTGTTGTTGGCAGTACAGTGACATATGCAGGACAAGATGTCCTTCCAAATTCATTTTGGAAGGTCATGTCGAAGTTTTTATACTGATTAGTTTCTTTTAATTTGTAGGTTTTTGTATTCAGAAAGATCGGCAAGCATTTSAATGGCTTGTAAAAGATTTATTTAGCGAATTGGGAATTGATTGTTCTTTTATCTGTCCAAACTAAATATGGCAGGTGATCAATCTGTCCTTTCAAAACCCGATTTGTTACTATGTAGTACTCATACCGAAAACGCAATGACACGGGCCATTTTTTATTTCGAGCCCTGTGTTGGAGAAAGGAAACAAAAAACTGTCAAGAGCTGACTTTCTAAAAGTTAGGTAAATGCCATCAAACCTTTGAAATTGATATTCCCACTATAAAAATACGCCACATCTTTGAGAGGTTTAATGGTCTTGAATAACCTCGCCAGAGTAGCGCCCTAATTACAGGGTCATGATCGACAGGGATCCGGGATCAGCTGTCAACGTAACAGACCTTTGCTGCAGTATAAAGCGTACCGCCTTAGTCTTTCTTTGTTCTTTACTGATGTCTTATTCTGCTTTCTTGTTTATAAACAACTTTTGCTCGACTTCTAAACTCGACAAACTACAAATGCTTGTTTMTCAGCTATTTAGTACTTTAAAGTTAGGTCATTAAACAGAATGATAGGCAAATATACACAAACGAAAACAAGGCAATTAGACCGTACCTTTTAATACAGTATCTATTTCACGGTGTTTTTTACTTCACTTGGACTATTAATTTAACTAGTTTAACAAAGAGGATTCCGGCACTCAAGTTTGTGGATACGTATTTGGGATCAAATTCGCAAAACTGTGTCAACTATACTATCGCTATAATTGTTTTTCATTAAAGCTGAACAAATATAGGTTTATAGCTTTACGATAATATGCCTTTTCTCAACTATCATTCATATCCGATTTCTAAATCTGGTGGGGGTAGTGACTCAATGAAATGTTAGCTTAACAGTTGCTCAGTCTTTCCGTTACTACGAGGTGTGGCTACAAATTAGTCTAATTAAAATAATATCTTCAGTTAATTACACGTACCCTGCTATGCAGGGGGTACGTGTAGTAAAATGCTGTCACTTTCTTGTTTTTTCTTTTTTTTTCACAATGTCGAAAGTTTGGCTTCGGTACATCTTCGTAGCCAATCACATTGTGAATTATATATCCGGTAGCCAATCACATTACGTTGTGTATTCCGAACGCCATAGCCTGTCGATAATCCCGTTCGCAACATTTCCAACTCGTTCTGCACAATGTTTTATCCGCCATTTTGATGAATATTGTCTCTACTAACGAATATGGAACAGAACATGAAGGTTTACGACCAAA